CCACCCTCGACGGAAACCGGAAACGGACCATCTTTATTGCATTGTTTGCAGTATGTATTATATTGCTTTGTTTTAATTGCATAATCTGCCTTGAGGCTCAGTGAGAAAGGTAGACTACACATTAAGTAAGTAAAGTAAAATAAATAAAACAAGACACGTGACAGTCAAATGACAGGAAGAAGAAGAGCTAGACTTATTAACCCATCAATGTCAAGGCCAAGAAAGTCATGGAAAGGAACACAATGCAAGCACCAGTTTATGTACAGTAATGAAGAGCTAAAAAGTAATCTCCACCTGATCATGTGCTGATGACCATTAGTTAAGCACAAGAGGGGACCCACAACAAAATGTTGTGTAATGTGTTGTGGCTTAGTTTAACTTGTAATTGCAGTGTAGGTTTTGTGTACTGTCAGCCTCCCCTACATACAGTGTTATTCCTTCTCTGTGTTTGTCTGTCCCCTCAGCCCAGGGAAGGCGCGAGGCGATCAAAACCTCACTCTGTCAGGAGCTGTGAAAAATGTGGAGCCTTGCTGCCACTCCCCTAACACTGCTGTCCAGTGACAGTAACAAAATTATCATGAGATCGTGGGGACCAAGCTGGAGTATAAGTGAGTTCTTACATTAGTGTGAAGAAGTCCTTCCTTCTGAAGCCATCTAAGAAACTGGCCTGTATTGCCAAACTTGTTGCAGCAAATGCTATAAGTTCACTGTATGTTATGCTGGGGGGGTTTCTTGGCAGAGCAGGGATTTAAACCTGGGTCTTCCAGATCCTAATTTTATTCTCCAACCATTAGTGGTGGGAAGTACTGTCAAATCACAGGCAACTTGTGGCAACCCTGTGGGTTTCCTAGGCAAGAGACTAACAGCTGGTTTGCCATGACCATCCTTCACATAGCAACCTTCAATTTCCTTGCTGGTCTCCCATCCAAGTACTAACAAAGGCAGAGCCTGCTTAGCTTCTGTGATCCAGCAGGCAGAGCTATCTCAATGGGTAGTGAGGTGCGAAGAGAGCAAGGGTGGGGGTGAGTGAATGCCAAGGATGGATGGGTAGTGGGGTGCCAGGGGTGGGGGGTAAATAGGGAGAGCTGTAAAGGTGGGGTTATTGGAATGCCAAGGGCGGGGGGTATAGGTGGGGAGAGCAGCAAGTTTGGAGGGGGTGAGTGGAATGCCAAGGGGAATGGGAGAAAGGAGTGACATAGGGAGTAGGTTGACAGATAAAAGGAATTGGAGAAAGGGAAAGGTTATCAGAGAAGGAGGGGTAGATTGATAAAGAAGGGATGTGGCAAAAGAGATGGGGGTAGGTTGACAGAGAAGGGGAGAGGGAAGAGGGGGAAGATTGTTAGAGGAGGAAGAGGGAAGTGTTGTACATATTAGATTCCATGTCAAAAATGAAGTCAAATGAGGAGGAAGATCTATGTTTTATTTCAATTAACAAGAAAACAGTTGGACCAAATAGTCCATCCAAAATTGACTACTTTCTTCTCAACATATTCAGGGAATATGCTTCAATTAACAGGAAAAACAATTGGACCAAATAACTCCTCAAAAATTGACAACTTTCTTCTTTTTCTTCATCTTCTTCTTCTTGAACATATTCTGAACATATTCAGGAAATACATGATATTTTATACATTGACTGACATCATCAAGAAAACAATATTCAAAAAGCATAATTGGTTATCAAAGACAATGGTAATTTGAGTAATAAGCCTCTGATTTGTCAGATGTAAAGAAACATATATCTATGTCAATTCTACGTAAAACCTAAGTGTTTACTTAACCTAACCTATATGATAATGGGCAAGGATTCTTCATATCCCAAACAAAAGTATTTTTACTGATACGAGACTAAAATCTTCTCTGACCCAGGCATTGCAAGGTTTTGCCCTTAAGAACTACAGAATCATTAACTTTGTACCTATTATGTTATCTACTAACAATATCAGACCTACAAGAGGAAAGCCTTCTATATAACAGGCCTTTCTAACATCTTAATAAAATATTACTTAAAAGAGAAAATCCATAAAACCAGGAAAAATATGAATATGAACAATCAAGAAGAAAAAAACCTATATAAAAATCTTTATATTCCCATTCACGCTATAGAAGGAAGCAAAGAGGGGGAAGGGATGCAGGAGGAAGGGGGGGAGAAGGAGGAAGGTTGGAAGAGGATTCAGTGGCCGAAGAGGAAGTGCCAACTTCTGGAGGAGCCATGGGATTTTTGGAAACTGCAAGTTCTGAGGTCCCATTGGGGAGTTGGGGTGTTTGTGCCCAGTGGCCTGTTTGGGAAGGGAGAAACTTGCGGGGAGGGGGCATTCCCATATCTTTGCTCCCCTCTTCCTCTGGGAGTCTAAGCACCTCCTGGCAGCTTTCCCTTTCTCTCCCCTCCTGTCCCCTCCAGCCGGCCCAGCCCACCTGACCCCTCAGCAGCACCTCATTTGATCCGGTGCTTGCCGTCCCTGCTGAGCACACAGAGGGCTGCATCTAGGCCCACAGTGGAGAAAGAGACGGTGGCGGGGAGAGCCTCAGGCACTGGCTGAGGGGATGGGGTGCAGCCCGGCTTAGCTGAGATGCCTCCTTCCCTCGCGGAGTGAGGCATAGGCCAGCGGGTGTCAGTCGGTGGAGGGGTGAAGTGAGTGGCGGCTCCGTCCTTCAGGTAAAGCATCAGCTAGGGTGGTTATAGCTGCAGCGGTTGTCCTCGCGGCTGCAACTGCTTCTCCTGGCATTCGAAATGGTGGTGGTGACTACCCTAGGGCTCTCCAGCACGTTCTCCTGGCTTGTCCTCTACACAGGCGCAGTGAATGCTGTTATACTTTTTGGGCGGTTTTAACCGCCCTCTTATGTTTTTTGATGTTTTTAGATTTTTCTGCACACTTGGGGAGTAGCCCACATGTGCAGGATAATCTCTTTTCTCTCCATGTGCCCCAGATTTGCGGATTTAGATATCTGCAGAGAGGGGGCATGTTGGGAATTAGATATATAGATGTGGCTATCATTGACTAAAATTTTTGATTAAAATTTTTACATGGGATTTGCATTTCTGTACAAGAAACAGTTAAACTTTAAAAAAGTTAATCCGGAGTAATTTTTAAATCAAATTGATTTTTTCCAGCTGTAATTAGATGTAACTAATTAATATAATAGGCTTTTAGTGACAAAGGGTAAATAAACTACTGATGATGTTTTTATCAGATGTTAATTTTATTTCTTCCATGGTTAGTAGTTGTTTTGTAGTTGTCAGTGTAGTAGCATGGGGGGAAAGTTTTGACCATTTGGACTTTTTAATTAACAAATACCTCTCAAATTTTGACATTTCTATCAAGACACACCATCACAGAGGGTACACTTTATCCTGGGTACTGAGGATGATGATGAAGAACACATCCCCCATGATCTGTTTACGGAAATGGATGAACTTTGTTTTAGAGAAGGGGAAGAATATGAATGGAAAGAAACTGCCAGGTAACTTTTGGGTAGTTCATATTAACGTCAGTGTTTTATACGTTGACCTTGTCATCCATTAAGATAAGTGAACATCTGAAGAATATGTTGCAGGCCTGTTTAGTATTCTTGTAGTTCAGTACTAATAAACAGATTTGTCCTAGTTCTGTAAACAATGATACCAGTTTTCCGAGAAATTGTTTATTTATTTATTTTGGCTTTTATCCCGCCCTCCCCCACAAAACCGCTCAGGGTGGGTCACAATATTCTAAAGACCATACAAAATTTAAAGCAGAATACAATCATTAAAAATTTATAAAAAATTGGTACACATAAAAACCTTAAGAGGCACCAGTTAAACAATTTACTGAATAGGATGAGGTTCCAGTTTCGATGTAGCTGCAGATCTAAGCAGTATGGAAGAGTGGGTTGGTGAGTAAGCAGCTAGGATGGTCTGCAGTGATGCTGGGCATAGCTCAGCTCAGCTGAGCAGTGCAGGGCAAGGGAGGCCATTGTGGTTGAGTTGTCATTGCCTCAACTATAGGCCTGGTGGACCATCTCCGTTTTACAGGCCTTGCAGAACTGCATTAAATCCCGAAGGGCCTGGATTTCACTAAGGAGGGCATTCCACCAGGCCGGCGCCAGAGCCGAAAAGACTCTGGTTAAGGCTAGGCTGACAAATTTGGGGCCAGGGAAAACCAGTAGATGTTGGGCGGAAGAGTGCAGAGCCCTTCAGGGGATTTATAGAGAGAGACAGTCCAGAATCTGCAGTGCAGATATTTTGGTCCCAATCCACATAGGACTTTAAATGTAAGAATCAAGATGTTGAACTTGATCTGGAATTCAACTGGGAGCCAATTGAGCTAGTGAAGCTCCTAGGGGTGTCTCTGTGAGGAGACGAGCTGCTGCATTTTGGACCAGCTGCAGTTTCTGGAGCAGTCTCAAGGGTAGCCCTGCGTAGAGTAAGTTATAGTAATCCAGCCTGGAGCAGACCGTTGCATGGATCACTGTAGGTAGGTTATGGGGGGAAAGGTAGGAGGCCAGTTACTTGACCTGCTGCAGATGCAAAAATGCAGATCTTACAATGGGGGCTCCCTGGAAAGTGAGGAATCCAGGACCACACCCAAGCTCTTTACCACTGGTGCAAGTATAAGTGGCGCCCTGTCCAGTGTTGGGAGCTGGTTACCAATGCATGTTTGAAAGTAGCTGTAGATGGTAAACAGCAGTGTGTAAAAAACTATTTACTGTGTTATATACATTGTGTCTTTGTTTTAGATGGCTGAAATTTGAAGAAGATGTTGAAGATGGTGGTGATAGGTGGAGCAAACCCTACGTGGCTACTCTGTCTCTCCATAGTCTATTTGAACTGAGGAGCTGTATTCTAAATGGGACAGTCATGTTGGACATGAGAGCCAGTACACTAGATGAAATAGCAGGTTGCGGCAAAATTTACTTAAGTTTTTTAAAAACGTTATTCTTACAAACCTAGGAATAATTTCTCATTACTTTATGTAAGAATAAAACATGATGAAGGGAGCAAAGTGTTCATCATATCAATATCTTTGACAAAGTTGTTTTCCTTCTCACTTCAGGTTTTCATTCCGCAGACTTTATCAGGTGTGGAGACCTGGTGACAATGGTGTTTTTCATTACTAGGGGTTGTAAGTGCCACAGAGTTGTACTTGATATGATTTTCTGTAGCCTTCTCATGTTTCCAACAGTTATGGTGAAAAAGGGAACTAAAGCTAACAGCTTTCAGTTACAGGTTCGGGGTATTTTGTCTCAGTTTGATTTGGGGTGCATGGCCATCCCTATGTGAATACTTAATTAAAATTACATGTGATGATATGAGTGCATTTGGGCATCCTTGGGAAAGGTAATTGGGATTGGAAATAGAAGTTGAAGGAGGCAGTTTGGAAGACCCCTCCAATCAGTTTCAGCTAGGTTAAGAGAAAATTCATAGAAGCTGTTACTTAGATGGTTCTTTACACCAGTGTAAAACAACAGTGTTTCCCTGGATGCCCTTCCCTCTGGCAATGCAGAAATCCCTGGGGCAATCTTCCATTTCCTGTTGAAGGGGCACCCAGGGAAACAGCAGAGTGCGGTTCTTTTATACTGGTTTTATCCCTGCTAACAGGGCTTAAAGGAATACAAGGGAGTTATGCTCTGGTCTCTCTTCAGGGTGTTATGTCGCAGTGTTCCCTCTAAACTGAGTTAGTATGAGCTAGCTCATAGTTTTTTAGCCTCCAGCTCACACATTTTTGTCTTTGCTCAGGAAGGATGGGTCCAGAGCAAACGAATTTGGGCAGCAGCCAAATTGCTCGCTCACAATTTTAATGCCAGTAGCTCACAAAGCAGAGTTTTTGCTCACAAGACTCCACAGCTTAGAGGGAGCATTGATTGTGTGCACATGTGAGAAAAAGGGGACTCCTGGAGGTCATTTTGCCAAGGGCAGTTTTTGCATTTGGAGTTTAAATGTAAGAATGTATATTTTTGCAGACAATCATATTTATTTAGAAATGTAGATCATATTGTTATAGAACTGAAAACTGTCTAGGGTGCCTTTTGTGATCCTGAATTGGTAGGGGTTTCTTATAATATCTAAACTAAAATATATTTAGGCATTTGAATGACTGAATAATACAGAAAATGTGTATGTAAAGGAATACGGGTCCTAAAATAAAGCTCTCCCAGAGAGTATTTAATTCATGCAAATTACACTTGCCATAGAAGCATTGTGGCAAATTAAGGCTGCAGTCTTACCCTGATCAGTCTGATTAATCCCTGTTTGCTTCAGTAGAATTTCAACTGCTTATGTTTCCAGGATTGTATCCAATCATGGGTGTAGGGCTAGAAGTCCCAGTGTAGTTCAGACAGGTGTTTAATTACTCAGTATATTGCTGTTACTATTTTCATTTGTGGTATTTCTCTGTTTGCCATAGTGGACACAGGGGAGAAAGGAGCAACATCATTCACTGCAGCAGCACTGACATGTAACTGAGGTGTTAGTAGTCAGGTGTGAATACATGTGGTACCCCTGCATTTGGGGGGGACTCTGAAGCCTGATGCTGTGGACTTCAGCAGTGGATTGTCAAGCATAATTCTTAGTGTGATTTTTACTATCTTAGAATTATGCCCCCTCTGTGCAGATATCTAAATGTGTGTTATTTAATTATGGTATTGCAATTGATGATAATCTTAAGATTGTGACAAGTGTCTAGAGTGTGGTGGTTTTTAAAATATCTGTACAGGTTTGACTTTTAAGTCAAGGGTAATTTTAGCAGTCCTTTTTCAGTATCATCATTTACTATAGTAGGGCTGCAGGATAGTTGTCAAGGTGGAATTTGTCTTAAATTAACTTTAGATGGGAGTATTAATAAAATACGTCATATAACTCACTGAATTTTGTTTTGCCTTTGGTAGATATGGTGTTGGATAACATGATAGCTTCTGGTCAACTGGATGGATCTACAAGGGAGAGTGTCAGAGAAGCTCTTCTGAAGAGGCACCATCATCAGAATGAAAAAAAATTCAGTAATCGGATCCCCCTGGTGCGGTCCTTTGCAGATATAGGCAAGAAACATTCTGACCCTCTCTTGCTTGAAAGAAATGGTGAGATAAGTTGTGGCATCCAGTTTATTTTAACCTTTAACAAATATAATGCAGAGATGTGAGAAAAGTCAGCACATGTACAACAAAAAAGTTAAAAAATCTTGATGTATAAAAAATGGTTAAAAAGTTATTTGCAGCAATGGTTTTCCTTTTGGCTGCAAGAATTGAACCAATCGTAATTCAGTATGCTTCAAAATGTTATGCTATCCTGTTGGTTTAGTTAAAGGTACATGTAAAACCAAGGCTGTGGGTATTCTGTGATATTTTATTAAATCTCTGTCTGTTTTCCAGATCTTCTCCCTGTCATTATAAAATTTGGTGATGCCATGTATCAAATAATTTTTTACTTTTTAAGGGCGCAATCCAAAACTTATATGATGAGGAAACTTGTACTGCTTTTGATTTCAGGGTGGTCTTGGTTTTTCAGTGCCATGCTCTGTGTCGATGTCATATAAAAATGTATGGATTGGAGCCTGTTAGCTTTTTGTTTGCTAATTCTCTTCATTACAGTTCCTGTTCCACATGCTTTTTTGTCCATACAGGGCCCATGATTCCCTAGCACAGCCTTTTTAGTGGTCAAAGGGGACTCCCACATCCCTTTTCACCAGTGGAAAAGCTAGTTGGATCCAATACTATATGCTTGGTTAGTCCTTGGGCAAACATTATTTTATAGCTGTTTATAATATAGCAGGGGTATAATATCATGACAGAGTATCCTGACATTATGCTTTTTATTTACTAACCTTCCCCTACCCCAGTACAGCTTCTGAAGCTTAGGCCAGTGTTGTCTTTAAAGTTATTGCAGGTAATCAGTGTGTGATTTATGTTATATTTGTGTTTTCTATTCTATTCATCACTTCTGTGTTTGGCTTCTCAGGTACGTACTTTGATCACTACTGGCTGAGTTTGTTGTAGTCTCCCTCTAAACTTTAGTGATAGAAAATGTAAAGGAAAAAAAGAAAATAAATGAATATCAGTAGTACCCATGTTAACACTGTGGAACACTGAAATGTTAATTAAAAATAGAAATATTTAGAACACCATATTTTATCAATTGGTTTTAAATGAAAGTTGTGTCTAAGTATCTGGTGTGCTTTATAATGAATTGAGCAACACTCTACAGTGTTTTATATTACTAATTGTAATCATGTAGCCTGCCTTGTCCCTAGGCCCTGATCTGTTTAGAATTCTGGCATTTGCTTTGGGGAACAAAAAGAAAGGTTAATGTTTAGTTGATATTCTAGATCAGGGTAGAGATGGCCTCTCTCCTGCCCCTGTCCCTCTTTATGTATCTTTGAGCTTCATGTGCTGTTGTTTCTGCATTAAAAACAACCACCTGTTAAAGGTGCTTAACATGATGTGTTTCTCATGTCTTTCTTGACTTACAGCTTTCATTAGTAATATCCTTTTGTTCCTTTCTCTGCTATTTGGTAGAAGATATTGTAAATAAATGCTGACTTTTTTGAACATCAAAATTCTGCTAAGCTGTCAAATTTTGCTTATCTCACCTATGACTGTGACTTACCTTTTAGTGTTTGTAAAACAATCTTTTAGAGCTATGTAATATGAAATGTGCAACGTCTATCTTCCTGCTGAATATTATCATTTGTTTTGTCTCAGGGGAAGGCCTTTCAGCCTCCCGACACTCTTTACGAGCAGGTCTCTCTGCCTCAAATATTTCCCTGAGAGGAGAGAATCGCTTGTCCCTTCTTCTCAATTATCTTCTTCCTGGAACTCCAGCAGCTTCAAGGAGCACAACTCCTTTACCTACCCCACAATGCACGCCACCATCCAGTCCTAGGTGTGGCCACAAGGGACCCGCAAATGTACAGCCGAGTGAGCTTCAGTGTCCTGCACTCCTAGTGTCTCCTGCTAATGATGATATCCCCAAAGTAATAATTCATCCACCTGAGGAAGATTTAGAAGCTCAGGAAAGCAAGGAGAAGACATCAGAGGATATTAGTGACGTAACACCAGGCAACTATTTCAACTCAAACTGTCCATGCGTGGTGCTTTCTGCAGCTGAATCACTTGCACTGCAAAGTTTATCACACAGCTTGAGCAATCATGACTTGTATACAAGTGTTTGCATGCTTCGTTTCTTCATATGTGGTATTTTCATGGAAAACTTTATCCAGTATTCTGAAACTGATGACAGCTGACACTGAAATATTAACACAAACATTTAACATGTTCAAAACAGTGAAATATTTGAATATAATACCTTTTATTTCACAACTAAAAGGAAATAAAGCAAGTTTTGAATTATAAACTTGAAATTCAGATACCAAATGGTGGCCTTTTTCTTTTTAAACCTCATTTGCCTGAGTGTATGAAGTATACTTTTGCACCAGAAGATGCCCTGTGCTTTGAAATTACCTCCCAATCCTTTCCCTAAATCAGGATTCTAACTTTAGGATATAATTGGCCAGTTCTGCCTCATTTAATCTGAATAAATATCTCTTTAGCTATTGTATGTATTTTTAAAATTTAAGATAGTCCTAAACAGCTGCTCTATTTAAAAAATCTTTTTGAAGTTATTTACATACCATACAGATCACCAAATATTATGTCTTTAAAAAATAACACCAACTACTTAGTAAGAATGCAATACAAAATTATAGCGAACCTAAGAATAATGACATAAGACAATTCTTGATAGAAACTTGGAGAGTTGCTCCTCCACTGTTAACAGCAGCAAGGCACACTTTCTTAGTCACTTCCTTAGTGTTGATCATTGATGGTCTTCTGTCACAGCATCAGTGATAGTTTTTGAACAAAACTAACTCTACATTGCGAGAGGCAGACAGACAGTCAGACAGACTTGTGGAACAGTTGAATATGTGTTTATGTGACATGGATGGGGTTAAAATGACTTCTTTTATCCATCTTGTTTCTGAAAATCCATTGCTTCTAGGATTTTAGCTGATGCAGTATTTTACTTGTGCTATGGAGGCAGGGCTGCTTTGAGGAAAAAGTACAGGGTAGTGTTCATTTGTAGTGTTCATTCTTTCTCTCTCTTTCTCTTTCCCCCTTCTTGCATGGTAGCCCTTATGTGGCTATATGTGTTGTATAGCTTTTCAAACTTCCAGACCTGTGGTTGTACACATACAAAAACAACAAAAAAGTGTGTAGCAATATAATAAAATATATTCAAACACTTATCAATCTTTTACTAGTATTCATTCTATTAAGGTTACTTGCTACTTACATCCAATACTAAGAGTCATACAGTATTTCTACAAAATCCATTAAGAGTCATACCATACTTTTATAATATCCATACAAAATTCAGAACACGTTCCAGTAACAAATAAGCCACATAGAAAAGAATTTTTCTAAGTGACCACAGAGCTTCAACTGCAGACATTCAATAAATGACTTGCTCCCTGTCTCAAAGATGCTGCAGGTGAGATAACGTACATCTGGATATAAAGCACGTTTCAAAGACTTCATCAAAGTTGCCAGATCGTTCAAACAGAAAGTAATCTGGTTAACACTAATCCTAAGGTTAATAATCAGAGGCTTACCCCATATTCTCATAGTCACTAAGTGCCAGCCAATGCCATAATTTGTACATTCAGAAGGGTGTAACAGCTTTCTTCAGAAATATTCAGGTGGGTAGCCGTGTTCGTCTGAAGCAGCAGAACAAAGTTTGAGTCCACTTTGTATGTATGACTCTTAGTAGTGGATATAAGCAGCAAGTAACCTTGATGGAATGAATACTAGTAGAAGATTGATAAGTGTTTGAATATATTATATTGCCACACACATTTTATTTGTTTTTGTATCTGTTCTGCACTTATCGTGGTCCCACTATTGTATATAAGACCTGTGGTTGTGGCAACTGCCCTCAGCAGCCTAGGAAGATTAGGCATGCGCAGACATAGCTGAGCAACTGGAAAAGTACATTCATTATACTTAGACCATTTACAGCTATATTATTTTCTGCTTAACACATACTTATCCTTATTGTTCTTGTGCAGCATTCGTGTTGGTTGAATGAAGATTCAGTAGACTGTGACATCAGTCTGACTTTATGCCCAACAGTGATGTAGTATTCCTGAAGTTTGCCTTTCCAAGATATCCAAGCCTCTAATGGTCATATGTACCCACAACAGATTTTATGGAAGTAAAGGGCAAAATTTAGTGGATGTAACAATGCCAAATTCCTGAAATGGCAGTACCTCAGAGCAAAGAGAGAGAATATAGTACAAAAGTCCAGCATTTTGGCACTTTTTAAACACCCCCCGATGAAGCATCCTGAGTACTTGCAAAGTACTCCAGTTATCATGCCTAACACATTTTTAAATTAATGTTCCTGTTCCTTTCTTAAAACCAAATTTCCAGATTACTTTATGACTTGAATTTTGTGGTCATGTTCTATATATAACTCTGAAAGAGAGAGACACACAGAGAGAATCAGTATAGTTTATGTTGCATGCAAGCTTCATCTGCAGCTAAGAGGCTTTTTACCTGTTGAAGTATAAACCTGGGCTTCTGTATTTTGTGCTATATGGTACCTGGGGCAGGGAGCTGGTATTAAGGCTAAAAGATAGGTATGAAATTCAAACAAATACAGTGAAATTCTGCACTGAAAAGGCAAAACTCTATTATCTATATAAATTAAGAACATTTGCGTGTATTTCCTTTGCATAATTTACCTGTAGCATACAAATCTAGCAGAAGGACCCAAACAATTGATCCCATGCCTGTGTTAATTAGCAGTGCATCCTAAGAACACTGTTCTGGGAGTAAGTCCTGTCAAACAGACATGCGAAGGATTCTGAAAAGACCTGCTTAGGATGGGACTGCTGATAATTTAAACTATAGTCTGACTGTGGCATAGGTAGTCTAACATTTTAATAAGCTCTTCTAAATCCCATCTTTATAGTAGAATGGCAAGATGCTTTTAAAAATAATATCTGAGATTCTTAGGGTGCTGATTTTTGTGCTTATTACTTTTTCCAGCATTTTTGCAACTCTGTGGAATGCAGAAGTGCCTTCTCCATATTGTAGCTGGGTATTAATAGCAGTGTAATATTGGCTTGATTGATATTACAGCAGTCTGAAGTGTTGGTGTAGCAAAAACTATATCAAAATAATGTAAGCAGACACCACTTTGACTTGAAGCTACTGAGGGGATATTTGAAGAAGGAATGATCCAAAATGTATGTTAGGGAAGAGTATGTGCCTTAGTGGGTAGAGCCTCTGCTTTGCATGCAGAAGGTCCTAGGTTCAGTTCCCTGCATCTCCAGTTAAAAGGACCAGGCAGTAGGTAATGTGAAAGGCCTCTGACTGAGACCCTGGAAAGCCACTGCCAGTCTGAGCAGACAGTACTGACATTGATGGATAGAGGATCTGATCCAGAATAAGGCAGCTTCATGTGTTCATGTATGTGTTCAAGTATGTAGTCTGGTGCTTATCAGTGTTTCCCAAATAGCTCTTGGAAGTGGCCAAAACAAATGTGTCAGAGATCACAGACGTTCATCAGTCTCTCAAAAGCGAATTGCATGTGCAGCCCTAATTGGGACTGTGCAGGAAGAGTAGAGATTTAACCCTTCAGTTTCTGCTCCCGTTTGTTAATAAAAACCATGCTCCTTGCAGTTGTATTGTTTTAAAGGGGAAAAATTTTCTGTTTTGTGTAACATGCTAATAACTGTTTGGGGAACCTGGCTTATTAATGGAAGAGAATGTGAAGATATTAAATCCCTTCTTCCTTCCATGATCAAAACAGGTTTGAATTGGGGCCGTGTTCAGTTTAAAAGATAGACAGGGATCTGTAATCTTTGTCATAGCTGTCCTTGATTTTAGATATGGTTTCCTCGTGCTCTATTTGGCATGCTTTAGGAGATGGTCGTTCATGGTCAGACATGTTAGATTTCAGACAGGGCAAAGCTAGTCTGAATATTCAGCATGGCTGCTTGAAAATCAAAGGAAAATAGATGAATTTGGGAATTTTCCATCCAAGTAGAGCATTTATTTTTGTAGAGTTCATGTTATTGCAATGACTTAGTGTGAGTGTTTTGTTTGAATTCATTCTTGTCCTATCTGCATCATCATGAACAATCCAAATTAACTAATTATGGTAGGAAGTTCAAAAGTATAAACTTTACTGCTTGCTTTTAAAATAATGTATTTCATATGGTAGTACATTATGGGAATAGCTTCATGGGCTTAATATGCAAAACAAATTTTATGAACAAGGAACTGTTTCCCTTTGAAATTCAAATTTATATGAAGAGTGCATGACTTGCCTTTCTTAATGAATACTAAACACTGGAGTTTGAATTGGCTTCTCTGAGCCAATTTATTCTTCTTTAGGCTTTGATAACTTCTGCATTCAATGATGTTATGTTTGGATATGAGAAACCCTTGCTCAGTCCTGAATCTTAAGATAACTTCATATGGGTTCTACTACAAAGAGACAGTCACTGTTTTCATATGCCATGGAAAACCCCCATAATTTGACAAAAATGAGCCAGGAAATCATTAGGTTTGTGTGCTTCCTTCCTTCTTGCAAACAAACCAGCATTCTATAGTAGAGTTAAACCAGACCATAGTATAATCCTGTTTTGTAGGTGAGAAATGCTGCAGCTTATAAAAGAACCCAATTTGGAACTCTTGGGAACTTGTAGCACTATATCTAATTCTCAGCATTGCCAAATCTATGGATACTTAAATCTGGCAACTGGAGCCATGAACAGCTTGTTCTACAAGCCTGAGAAAAGCCTCAGCTTTGCAGAAAAATCTGAACTCTAAAAAAATAATCATAATGGGGAGTTAAGTTCCCCCCACCCCCAGTAATAGAAGCTGTAGCTTTAGAAACAAATGTGTTCTGTGGCCATTGCTGGGCAACTACAATGCTATTGCCAGTTGAAGACTTGGTGTCTGTCAGTAAAAGGCATGGGGAGGGTCCTTTCCAGGGCTGTTGTGGCCTTTGAGGGAAGACTTAGTGAAACTATGCCTGGCAAGAACTGCCATGCAACCTGCTATGACCTGACTTGCATGACTCACCCAGGCCCAGCTCCTTGCTAGTCTTCAACACAGCCACCCCACAAAAGCCATCATGGTATAATGGCTAGAATTTCAGCCTAGGATCTTGGAGACCCAAATTCGAATTCCTATTCTGCCGTGGAAGTTCGCCAAGTGATCTTGGGCCAGTTAGACATATTTAGCTTCATCTACCTCACAGGATGGCTCTGAGGGTAAAATGGTGGAGAGTTGAATGACTTAAGCTACTTTGGTCCCCATTGTGGAAAAAGGCAGGGTATAAATGAATAAATAATAAATATAGCTGAAGATGGGAGGCAGATAAAAGGCTGGTTGATGGGTGGAAAGGGAAGAAGTAAGCAGGGAACTGTGAGCCTGTGGGGGCAACCAGAAGGAGGAAAATAGGAAATATGGGAAAGGGGGGTACAGGGGCAGGGAAGAGACAGATGAACAAGGAAGTCCTCAGGCTTGGCTAGAAGGGAGTAGGGAAGGAGTGCACAAACCCAAGGATTTAGTTTAGTTTGTTTCATGTTTGAATGCAGCCAAGGTTTCAGACTGCAGCAATTTATTTATTTATTTAAATCAGTGTACCGGCCTTCTTTGCAGAAGCATGCTAGTAGGACAGGTAACCATTGCTAAGTCCAAAAATATAATAGTGCAAATATGGAGCTGCTTTTACTGTGAGGATTTTCTTTGAAGTTTGTGATTTATAACCAATCCTGCTGCTGAGGAAGAAAGTTACTTTTTAAACTGAATAGAAACTTGCCTTTTGGGGAACAGAAACGACTAGAAAGAATCCCAAAGGAAGCTCTATTTGTGTGCATAATTTCCTTCTTTATGTGTAAATGAATTACTTGGATCATGGCTAGTGTCCTTTTACTTTTTAAAAAACTTTTGACTAATGGCTGGTAGATGAAATCCTTGGGCTTCAACCTCGTAGCAAACTAGGTGTTACTACTAGATATTCTAAAGTAATTTTTATTTTGTGGTTTTTCAGACTTAAAGAAATTTTGAAATACCTCTGATGCACGATCCACTCACAAAATATTGGTGGTTAGATTTACATTCTTATGTTCTTTTTTAAAAACAAAGTAACTGACACTTTTGTTCTGGTGCTTTTTCTGCAAAAGGCCATCATTTAGGCAACATCTAATTTTAACTTTTAACAAGCATTCATTGTTTTTCAGAAGAAAATAACTTGTTTTGTGTGGCATTTTTGATACTAATGCACCTTTTGTTTATTAACTTCCACATTCGCTTTTAGAAAGCTGCCACTTTGTCATTATGCCACTAGCTCTGTTTTCCATAGATGCAATTCTGAACATGCTTGTATAATCTTTTTCTAGGACTCTTAGCATCACCACAGTCAGCTCCTGGTAATTTGGATACTGGAAAAAGTGGAGATATTAAAAGCAGTGGAACAGGAGGAAGCAGAGAAAACAGCACTGTTGATTTCAGCAAGGTAAATGACTACGTTGTTTGGAGATGGGAGAAGATCTATGTGAATTAAAGCTAAATATTACTCTGAGGATAGTTATTTTAAGATAATTAGCTTCCATGTTAAGATTCTTGCACGCAGTATGGTCTAATATTTCTCTTCTTTAAGGAGTGGTGAAGGGTTATGCTTCCACGATAAAGCACCTGGTTTACATTTGTAAGATCCCATGTTCTGTCTTTAGTTAACAATAAACAATAATGATAAACACGGTCTAATGTTGCAGACACAATATAAAAAAAACACAGCTGTGAACATCAGACCCTAAAGTCTCAACAGTCAAACAACTTGTAAGTGCAGTGAATAATGTCTATTTGAAGTGCACACAAAATACAGTTTCAGTAAGTCATTAAGAGAATTCTATTCTTTTTTATGCCATATATAGTATCTGTTTGAAATGTATATAATTCACAATGATACAAAATACCATTCTAATCTTAAGAAAAATCCTATTCAATGTGGCCAGGTTTTTTCAATGTTTCAAATTGAATTCAGGAAATATCTAAGTATAATTTTTTAAATTTTTTATCATTAAAGTTTAAAAACAGAAGGCTGTAAGCAATCAAAGATTTACTAAAGTTCCAATTATTATCTTACCCTATACAGAGCAGTAACCTTCAGGCTCTTACAATTATATCTGTTTTCAGCAAGAGCAATACATGTTTAAAAAATAAAAATGTAAATACTGACTCTGAATAATAACACAGATGCAGGTTTTAAAACAAGTTCCACACTTACAACCAATCAGCTGGGCGCAGATCGCAAACCCTTCAGTTAAAATATCCTAGTTACCAGGGCTGGGAAAGGACTATCACTAAAAAGCAGTTTCATATGCAATACTATTCCAGTAGACATGTATTACTGTAATAAAAATTTGCAAACCATGCCAAAGGCATATATATATAAATTGGACTGCAGTATTATCTGTTTTTTGGACCAAAATGATTGAGGATGTCAACTTCATAAGAAAATATACTTGTTGTTCATGTTTTGAATGATTTTTGCTGAAAATTTTGTTAGTTCACAGTATTTGGCTTTTCCCCAGAAGCATCAGGTGTTCTTAAGAGTACCAACAATAGCTATTGACTTCAGTCAAACATAGTGCATAGGAATGACCAACTATCCATGTGCCTTTTCTTTTGGGGGTATTTGTATTTGAGCTTTCATAATTTTATACATAATACACTGCTTGAATTATGGGGTAAAATGAAACCCGCATGTCTCTCATTAGTGACCCCATCCAGTTTGGTAGTACTCATTATTGCCCCTCTACATTAACATCTCACCTCTGTTCCTACAGGGTGTAATGTACAGAAATAGTCTTGGTTTTGAGGTGTGTTTACATTTAGAAACATTACTTTTAGAGAAATTGTTAATACATTGAGATTGGCTGATGTTGCTCAGCTCTGCAGGACTTGTGAATAAAGACAAGATGATTAGGCATGTAGAACAGAGCATTCTCTGCTGTTGTTCCTACACTATGGAATTATTTTCTTCAAAAAGACACCTGACTTCTTCATGCATGTCTCCTGGTGTTTATTTAGGAAGGCATTGGTTGTATATTTTGGTGCTTGCTGCTGCTACACTTTCATTTATCTATTATTCCAACCTTCTTTGGTTTGCTGTGTTTAGGTGATGTTTTTGGAAATGCATTATTTGTGTGAGACTCCTTTCTGGGATATATCCTAGTATATGCAGTGCCAGTGGAAGATGCTAGCAGAGGTAGTCATAAACACTGGCAGAGGCACCTTTCCCCAGCAGGCACCCCTGAGCCATGAAAAGGCAATGCCAAAGGTTGGAGGATGAACAGCTGCACAACACTGGTGACTGCACTGAAGAGGGGAAAGTGAGTTAAATCAGCTGACAGAAGAGGCAGAGGGTGATTCTGCTTACTTTTCTCTCTCTTCAGGGTGGACACACATGTTGTATAGCTTCATATATGCACATCCCTCAACCTTTTTGGCATTACCTTTTCAAAGCTTATGGGTGGCTACTGGAGAAAGGGAGAGATGGGAAAAATTTACCAATGACTTCGGTGGGCACTACTTGGAATCCAGCCTTGTGCACACACATGCTATATATGTGTGTCCTGTCTCTGAACTATTTTCTAAATAAATACACTAGAAACTCACTCAAAAGAGAATAATTAATATTTTCATAGAGAATAATTAATATTTTCATTTTTTCCCCAAGTGTTAGGAGATGGCTCTTAAAAGTAAAGATACAAATATAAGGAAGCTGTTTGGATAAACAGATGCATGGGCCATTGTGAGCATAAGAACAAGAGGACATAATAACAAAAATCAAGGAATTGCTTAGGAATCTTATGCCTCCTTTGGTTCAGACTGTAAACTGTGCCAAGAGTAAAGTCCTCCTGATCTGCTCAACCACACTGAAATGGGAATGTTTTGGGTTCCCATTAATTACAACAGAACTTTGGCAACAATCTTCCCATTCTCTATGCTGTGAGACGAGATCCAGAAAGGGGAATTTCTCCGGTGGTCCAGGAGTGGGGCAGTCCTTGACTCCTTACTCCTGGGAAAGCACCTCCCCCTTCCGTAGGCAGGGCCGGCAAACTTTGATCCCAAAGGGGAGGGGCTTATCCTCTGATCCCCAGTCTTACTGGCCCTGCCTTCTGAGCAGGGCGTGCTGGTGGTGCTCTGAAGAGCACGAAGATCCCAGAAGACACCAGAAGGTTAGAAGAAGAAGCAGAGACCTAAAGGGCAATGGGAGAAGGTACTTACCTTCCAGCCCTAAAACATATTCGAGAGCTGCAGGCCTCGAATTACAATGGATCCGGTGCCGGCAGTCCTGGGAGGCCCCCAGGCTGTCATGGCGCTGAGAGGAACGCCTTGGACCCCGCTGGGAAGGCAGCGGTAAACTGCTCTCCCCCCCATCCAGCTGCGGTGGCATGCAGCGGTTTTGGGGACAGACACTCAGTGAAGAGCCTGGGGAGAGCAGAGGCAAGAGAGGCGGCCGAGGGTGGTGCAGAATCTCTGTCGCCGTCCCTTTCGGCATTGGAATGGAGCCCCCTCCTTGTTCCAGATCGTGGCGAGGAGGGAAGTGTCTCCTGCGCAGTCTACCTGGTCGGCTAAACCACGGTAGGACTGTATCCATTGAGAACTGGCAAGGTGTGGAGGGGGAAAGCAAGTCATGGGTGCTACCATCAAAGAAGAAGGATATGAATTCTAGAAGGAGACCACAGTCATTTTGAGACCTCAGTCGTGATGATAAACAACAAATGGAAGATATAGGCACAAGAGGATAGTTTCTCTGGGCAGTGGCACCAGGCTGTGTCGCACAAGTGGTTCCTGGAGACGCTGGCCCATGGCTACGCACTAGAGTTCAAAAGAGTTCCAAGCAACGTTTCTTGGAGATCTCAAGGGAAAGTTCACCAGGAAAAACACCAGATGATGTTACAGGCCATCTAACATCTGTTGGACATTGGAATGATAGAGATGGTGCCCGAGACAGAGAGGTCGCTAGGAATTTATTCCATCCCTTTACGATCCCCAAGAAGAATGGGAACAATAGGGCCATCTTGAAGTGGCTCAACAAACGTGTGCAATCAGGAAAGTTCAAAAAAATGTTGAGGTCCATCTTTTTCCTCCATACATGCAGGGGACTTCATGGTCTCCATAGACCTGGCGGAAGCCTATCTGCACATCCTGACAAGGGATAATCACAGGAGGTTTCTAAGGTTCACATATCACAGCAAACATTTCCAATATTGAGCCTCGCCCTCTGGACTCAGGTCCTTGCCTCCAAGGTCCTGGGGACACTAGTGGCCTTCCTAAGTCTGAGAGGAGTGGTCCTGTTTTCCTTACTTGGAAGACGTTTTGATCCAGGCAGAGTCCAGTCACCAGGTGAGCCTACACTTGGACTTTATAATCCAAGTATTTAGTGTTTAGTCATGCTGGCCACATGACCATGGAAATGTCTTCGGACAGCGCTGGCTCTTCGGCTTTGAAACTGAGATGAGCACCGCAACCCTAGAGTCGGTTTGGCTGGCTTTTGAGCAAGGGAACCTTTACCTTTACCTTACTACAAGGTTGTGTTATTAACAGGGAGAAGAGGACCCTGGAGCCACCTCAAGTAATTACACACTTGGGAGTGTGGATAGACACAAGACAGGACAGGGTTCTTTTGTTCCAGGAGCGGTTAGTAAAATTTCTCACTTATCTTTCATCAGGTCCTGAACATTTAGACACTGGAGGTGATGACCCTAGCATGTCTCCTGGGCATGATGGTGTCGTGCCAAGATCTACTACCGTGGCCTAGAGTTCATATGAGAACCCTGCAGCATTTTCTTTATTCACTACCAGAAGGAAATAGACTACAAGATAGTCAAGAAGGTAGAGTTACCACAGTCTGTATGGACAGAGTTACAATAGTGGCTAGTTCCGACTCTGTTCACAGAAGGGATACTTCTAAGTAAACCCCATGGGACACATGGTCAAGACACCTGGTCGAAGCCGGAAACATCCAAGAGCATCAACTTCCTGGAACTTGGGACCATAAAGTTGACCCTGGCTCGCCTGCAGACGCAACTGGTAGGCAGTCTATATTAACAGATAGGGAGACATGCAATCCCAACGGCTACACCGGGAAGCAATGCAAGTGATGCAATGGGCAGAGGAGCATGTGCTGTCCTTAAAGGTCACACATATGGCAGGAAGAGAAACGTGTTAACAGAGGGACGCCTTCCAACAGATCAGCGAAAGATTTGGAAGGCAGAGGTAGATCCTTTCACGTAGAGACAGACCATCAAGTTAAAAAAAAAAGTTTACATCCAAAACTCACATGAAAGGGGCACTAGGAATAGACGCCCTGTTCCTAGCATGGCCAAGAACTCTACACTATGCCTTGTCGCTCCTAACTATTTCCCAGAGTGGTACAGCAGGCGATAGATTAAAGAGCAGATGTGATTCTGATGACACCCTTTTGCCTATGGAGGTTGTGGTTCCAGGTCCTCATGAGCCTATCCAGACAGGATCTATGGCAGCTGCCTCTCAGACGGGACCTTCTGTCTCAGGGGATGACCGTTCATCTGCAACTGGACATGCTACAACTCACAGCATGGAGGTTGAGAGGGAGACAGTTCGCAGCGCTAGGATATGAGACAGAGGTGGTTTCCATGCTCTTGGCATCCAGAAAATCTTCTATGACCAAGATATATGACAGATCGTGACAAACATCTTCCAACTGGTGTGGAGAGCAGGGATGGACCCGATGTGGACGCAGATGGGAATGGCGTTTCTCCAACAGGGTCTGAGTAAAGGGTTGAGTACTAGTTCTCTAAGGCGACAGGTAATGGACCTTTCCACGGTTGGAGGGGCTAGGAAAGGTAGGGCCTCCCTCCTCAATCCACCACAGGTTCACAGGTTCTCCGCATGGAATTTAATGCAGTGCTACGAGCACTATGCAAGGAGCTGTTTGAACCAATGGCATCATGTCCCATGAAAGATATTACTCTGAAAACAATTTCTTAGTGGGGATCACTTCAGCACGCAGGTTTTGGGGCTGAGAGCTTTGTCGGCACACACATATTTATGTCCTTTCTACAACGACAGGGTTGTCCTCAGACCAGCCCCAGCGTTCATCCCCAAAGTTAACTCCTGGTTCCATAGATAGGAAGATATGGTACTTCCCTCCTTTTCTTCAAACCCTGGCCATGAGATGGTGACAGTCTGGCATCATCTAGACGTGCGTAGGGCTTTGAGTTTTCTATATGGACAGGACCAGGGGGTTGAGAAAGACTGAATCCTTGTTTGGGTATGTTAGTCAGTTGTCCCTGGGAAAGATTGTCTACACTTCTGCCC